AGATTTCACCTCCCAGACCTACGACATGAAACTCAAGATGACGTCTGGTCGACATCCCGAAGCCAATGGACTGGCCGAGGAGATCAACCAGACCGCGATCCAACTTCTCCGGGCCCTAATTGTACCTGATCAGAACTCTTGGGATGAGGAGTTGCCGATTGTGCAGGGGTTGTACAACAACTCCATCCACTCTTCCACCGGGATGACGCCTAACCGGCTGCATCTTGGATGGAAAATCCGCAATCCTCTATCTTATCTGTTCCCTGAACAGCCACCTGGCCTAACACCTGGCCAGCCAGGCTACAGCGCTAAGTTTGATCGCCTGCTCAAAGTTGTTGTCGCAGCTATGGAAAGGCGACGCAGTGTCATGATTAAACATGCTAACAAAAAGCGCCAGCCTGCACCTTTCATAGTGGGAAGTTATGTCTGGGTCAAAATGTCTGAGTTTTCTGAAGAAGAAGGTGTATCACGAAAGCTTCTTCCTCAATACTACGGTCCGTGGAAGGTGTTCAACCAGATAGGGAGTGATTCCTTTGGCCCTTCGTATACGATCGATGTGCCTGCTCATCTGCGCACATATCCAGTCTTTCACGCATCGAAGTTGTTTCCGTATGAATCACCTGAAACTTTCAAGTATCGAGAATCGATGATTCCCCGCGCAATCAACGGCGGTCACGAGATTGATAGGATTGTCGAGCACAATGGGAAGGGAAGAAACAGACAGTACAAAGTCCATTTTCTGTACCACCCGTTGGATGATTTTTACTGTATTGCTAAGAAGGACATATTGCAGAGTGCACCGCGCGTCGTTAACGCCTATGGACGACTGATAAGTTCTGAACAACAACCAAAATTCACTGCTATCCTGACTCCTACGGAACACACCCGATCTCTCTTTGCTATCTACGCCTACGATGCATTGTGCAAGGACTCTGATTGAGTTACTCGCTCGAAGGGACCTCGCTCTTGAGGGGGGGGTAGTGTAATGACCCGTCAAAACACAGACTGAGAACACTGCTGATTTCTGAAGTTTTGCCGATAAAATGGATGCCTTGCTGAGATTCCCGCATTCTGCTGTGTTTTCTAAGTCTGTCTGTGTGTGCGTGCTTGTGACCTGCGTGCCTGTCTGAGTGCTTGTCGGTATAAGTGTGTGTGTGACCCGCAAGGGTACTTGCTTGTTTGGCAGGCCCGTAGGGCCGGTACTTACCTGTGGTCGTGGCATTGAGGGTTGTAGCAGGGAAAAACACTCAAGTGGCGAAGCTAGCAGCCCCGCGGCCCTTGGGGTAGCGGAAAAACACTCAAGTGGGCCGGTAGGCCGATACTGCACCCCACTGCAGTTGGCGTGAGAGGGTACTGGAGGCCGAGCAGAAAAAGACAAAGCTGGCATTTTTAGAGTCGAGTAGCGGTAGGGTAGGTCTAGGCCGGTACCAGTCCAACCAGTCTGAGTCTAGAGCCTGTACGGGTAATATCAGGGTCTGCAATGATGTTTCCCTCCGAAACGGAGGAAGTACCAGTTTCTTGGAGAGGCCGAGCGGCCTGGAAGTCACCGCCCAGGAGGCAAGTAGGCCGCTATATCAAGAGGCCGGGCGGAGAGCCTAGCCTCATTCTTCAGTGTGCAAGTTTGGCGACACGCTGCTGGAGCGCTGGCTGGAGTGGCGCTGGGTACTACAGCGCTGCTGGGAGGAAGAAGCCGGGAGCTTCCACCTTGGCTATGGTGGAGCTCTACCGGTAGGAGGAGGGAGAAGGGGACCAAGGAGGAGAGTGGCGAGGCACTTACCTGGCTATGGTAGACACAATCTTCATCTCCTTGCTAGGCGCTGCATCAGGAAGGCCCCCGTTGGGGTAGTGCCGCATCAAGGAAGCTCGGGACAGAGTCAGCGGCATAGCTGCATGGTGATGACCTTGAAGTGGGGCAGCGGCATAGCTTCTTTGGGTTGTCCTTTGGACAGGAGGCAAAGGCCTCAGTAGTCCGCCGTAGCTCGGCCTGTATGTAGAGGAAGAAGAAGGGTGGCCATGGCTATGGTGGACTGAGTGTTGTGCCTGCAGTAGAAGTGGGATTCGGACATTGATTCTGGTTCARTCATTCAACATTATTATTGTTATTTCTTGTTTGAATAAGAGGGGAGGAGATAAGGAGGAAGGGATTGGTTGGCGAAGAAGAAGAGCCTTGACATTGGTCTATGCTGGAGTACATCATCATCTTCTTCTTTCTCACTTCTTCTTCTTCTTCTTTCCCTCTCTTTCCTCTCAATTTCATTCATTTCTTTTTGCAATTGGATGGCATTGTACTTTCAGATGAATGTATACTTCGAAATTGACCAGGATCGTAACAGTGTCCTAACTTTTCGAAGAGTATATGAGTTCAGGGTCTCTTCTTGAGGATCAATGTTGTGGATTGTTAGGGTTTTGGGGTTGGTCCGATCTATTGGAAAGGAGGTGAAGACTCCTGCAAAGTTTGATCCAGGAGATCTGCGTTAAAATTGGTAGGCTCTCTGTGGTAACGTTTCCTGGATCAGAACTCCCCACTCCCCTGATTTCCAAGAGAAGTCCTTCAACAGGTCCTTCCAGCTGACCAGAATGCTGTTGATTATTGTTGCCATACTCTCATCTCGGTGGTGACAGCCCTTTAGGCGTGTTCTCAACTGTTCCTCACAGATCTAATCTTTCCCTTCTTCATCCCAAATGTGACTGACACCCCAGACCCCATGTCTGATCCAAGAGAGCCATCGATGCCCATTTGTAAGTGACAGTGGGTGCCTATCATCTTTTTCCAATTGATCTTCATTTTTGAGGCCAGCCTGAAAGCTTTCATTGCCCTGACTAGTGTTTTTATGGAGGAGTCAGATGCCCTTATGAGAACTGTGAGGTCGTCTACAAACATTATCACTGTTGGGAATTGGATGTGGTGAGGGGTTCTGGTATTGAGGTCTGACAACCTTTGGATTGAGGGGTCTTTGCGTAGGAAGGAGGCGATCGCTTCCATAACAAAAACGAAGACCGGTGGGGCTAAAGGGTCTCCTTGACGGACCGACCGGGAGATCGGATAACATTCGGAAATAAGTCCATTCACTTGTACACATCCTGAAGCAAGACTTGGTCGTAGGCTTTCTCAAAATCGAAGAACAGGATAGTTGTATTCATCCTCTTCTCTTTGACTTTTCTTTTAGCCTCGTTAAGAGTTAAGACATTGTCTAGTATATATCTGCCCAGGATAAAACCAGCTTGATCTATGTGAAAGCATTTATCTGTGAGGTCCAATATGAACCCTAATGCTTTCGCCAAAATTTTGTAGGGGAGGGTAAGAAGGGAGATTGGCTTATAGTTACGAATGTCCTCCAGATCCCCCTTCTTATACAGTAGGGTCACCACACTGCTACTCAAAAATTCTCCCATCCCCCGTTTATCCCAGTTGTTCTTATAAAACCGAAGAAGGTCATTGCCCATTATGGGCCAGAACGTTTCCCATAATTCCTTGGTAAGACCATCGATCCCTGGGGATTTGCCGTTTTTCATGTTGTGGACAACGAATTTCAATTCCTCTAGCGTAATAGGTTTGTCTAGCGCTGCCGCCTGTTCCACTGAGATTGTCTTGTCTAGGTACTATAGCAATCTGGTTCTTGCCTCTGTCATGGCTATAGAGGCGGGTGAGGCAGTTTTCGTCTGGTACAGTTCTTGATAGAAACCTCTAGCTATTTCCAGCATCCCTTCACTGTCTGTCCTTATGGCTTGTTCGCTTGACAATTCCTTTAGCCCTTCAATTGAGCTCGTTGTGCTGTTGGCTTTTATTCTCGAGAAAAAAATGTTTAGTCATTGATTCGTTTAACTCATATTCCGTCATTCTTGCTCTGAGTTGTAGGCCTTTCAATTCCCATTGTCTCCATACTGCCAATTCTTCCCTTGCCCACTCGAGGGTTGTTGAATATAGGATTGAGGAAGGGTCGATTATCAAGTTGTTCTCTGCAATCTTTAGTGCTATCTCCAGAGCCTGTTTTCTCTGTCTTCGGTCATTGGCCAGTTTTTGGGATAGCCGAGCCACTGTTTGAGACAGTAAGAGGTAGCTCTTTTGGAACCATTCCCATTTATCCTGTCCTCCTAAGAATGTGCTCCTCGAGTTTTGCCAACATTCATGTACACTACCGTGGAAGACCTGACCGAGAAGGAGGGAATTGTTCAACTTGTGGAAGCTTGCTCCTCTCGTAATGTATTGCTATAGTTGAGAATTATCTCTACCGGTTTGTGATCTAATCCGGACTATGCGGACAGGGCCAGATTGTCAGCCTCCTTGATGGTTCCCATTAGAGATTCTGAGACAAGGAAGTAGTCAATGCGGGAGAAAGTCGTGTGATGAGCGTGGTTTTTCTTTACCAGCAAGAATGCTTTTCTTTCCAGGTGTAACGTACGGAAAGGGTCCGCCAGGTTGTGATCCATCATCAGCTTAAGGACTGGAATTGCTTCTTGTGAAGCTTGAGTCGAGGTTGCTCGAGAGATTCTGTCGTAAGTCGGGTCCAGAGTTGCGTTCCAGTCTCCTGCTAAGATGCAGGGTGAGAAAGGTGTTACCAGACTTCCCACCGTGGACAAAAATTCCGATCTATCTGATGAGTTATTGGGTGCATACACATTGATGATTCTAACTTTTTCTTCTTTTTATTTAAGATCCATCATGCACCATCTCCCTGTTTCATTATCAGCATTCATTCCTTGAATTGTGCCTGCTATGAAGAAGCGTGAGGATTGGGGTATTA